AAGAAAATTCCTAACAGAGATAACAAGGGAAGCAGATCTCAAGGGAAAGACGGCCCAAGACATGATGGATTACATCACGCAAAAGTGCAAGGACGCAGCAAAAAAGTTTGTCCTAGTCCAAAAGGAAAACAATGAAATGAAGATGAGAAACCCATGGTTTAATCAGAGATGTAGGCTAGCTAAGCAACAAAGTAAAAGGGCATGGAGAAACTATTGGAATAACTGGACACTTGAGAGCAGGAAGAGATACCAGAGTGCCAGGAATGAATATGTCAGGATGGGAAGAGAGGCAGAAAGACAATACGACAATGACATCGCAAGCAAGACTCAGCCAAAATTGTTGCACAGCCACATCAGGAGAAGAACAACAGTAAAGGAACAGGTAATGAAATTAAGGACATGGGCAGAAAGTTTCACTACAAACGACAAGGAAGTGTGTGAGGAACTGAATAAGAAATTCCAGGTCTTTACCTTAGAGCAAGAAGAAATTCCAGAGATAAGAGAGGGAATAGTTAACCAGGAACCACTGGAAGAGTTTGAGATTACCAGCGGGGAAGTAAGGAAGTGTTTACTAGAGTTGGATGTGACAAAGGCTATAGGCCCAGATGGAATCTCCCCTTGGGTACTAAAGGAAGGATCAGAAGAACTGTGCCTCCCGCTCTCCATAGTGTATAACAAATTACTGGCAACAGGGGAACTGCCAGAAATTTGGAAATCAGCTAACGTAGTCCCAATATACAAGAAAGGGGATAGACAAGAGTCACTGAACTACAGGCCAGTGTCCCTAACCTGCATAAATGCAAGCTGATGGAGAAGATAGTGCGAAGAAAACTATTGAACATCTGGAGTGAAAGAACTTTGTAACAGCATCAACATGGGTTCAGGGATGGCAAGTCCTGCCTCACAGGGTTAATTAAATTCTACGACCAAGCAACAAAAATCAGACAAGAAAGAGAGGGGTGGGCAGACTGCATATTTTTGGATTGCCAGAAAGCCTTTGATACAGTACCACACAAGAGGCTAGTGAAAAAACTAGAGATGCAGGCTGCGGTGAAAGGGAAGATACTGCATTGAATAAGGGAGTACCTAAGCAACAGAAGACAACGAGTCACTGTGAAGGGTGAGGTCTCAGATTGGCGAGACGTTACAAGTGGAGTCCCGCTGGGGTCAGTCCTTGGACCTATACGGTTTCTGATATATGTAAATGATCTCCCAGAGGGTATAGACTCGTTTCTCTCAATGTTTGCTGATGACGCAAAAATTATGAGGAGGATTGAAACGGAGGATGATAGTAAGAGGCTACAAGATGATCTAGACAGATTGAATGACAGACTTTTATGCACAACTATATTCTACCCACTTGAAGACTCCGTACCAATATAGAAGCATCAAGAGGAAGCATGGGCCAATAGGCCCTTTGCAGTTACTTCCATTCTTCCCTCCTTACCTTGAGGTTACCTTGAGGTGCTTCCGGGGCTTAGTGTCCCTGCGGCCCGGTCGTCGACCAGGCCTCCTGGTTGCTGGACTAAACAACCAGGATGTTAGACGCGGCTGCTCGCAGCCTGACGTATGAGTCACAGCCTGGTTGATCAGGTATCCTGTAAGAGTCCTAACCTCTAAGTCCCTAAAATATCCTATCCTCTCATTTATCCAATTAATACTCAATGTTCCGTGTTCTGTCTTGTGTTGGTCAAAAGTTTGTTCACCTCATCCAAAACTGTTACAACATATCACCTCACCCAAATGCGAGTATATAAGACAAGATGTTTAAATGTTTAGCAAAAGTAAAACTCTGTTTAGTGTTTTTAGGTTACAGTTGTGTGTGTGTAAACTAAAGGCTTTGAAAATGTAATAAATTATTACAAAACGCGTTCAAGCGTCGCATCAGACTAGAAATAAAAATGAATTTTGGAGAATTGATTTTTCAATTACCAACGACAGTGAAAAGAAACATAAGAAATATTAAGAAAATTCGTGATAGAATTATATATTCTTATAATATATATATATATATATATATATATATATATATATATATATATATATATATATATATATATATATATATATATATATATATATATATATATATATATATATATATATATATATATATATATATATATATATATATATATATATATATATATATATATATATATATATATATATATATATATATATATATATATATATATATATTGGTGTATACTGGCAGCAGGTTTTCTTTCAAACATGTTTCATTGAATATGACCGCATATTCTGTATTTATTATTTTCTGGTTTAGGGCTTCTATCCCTCTAACTATTTTCTTAGCATCAGGGCTTAATTGAAATAGGAGTTCTCCAAAACTCATTTTCGTACTTTTAAGGTGAAGAAAAGAAGTGATTTACTATAGAGTGTATTACACTTATTTGTATAATTTGCACGACGTTTCGAACCTCCATGGTTCATTCTCAAGTGAACAGATCTTACAATACTAGTTGATTTTATACCCGCATTAGGTCAGGTGATAATACAATGAAGGTGAAAACATGGGGGGATACATAAGGGATAAACATAGGGGCTGCAGAAGGCTTATTGGCCCATACGAGGCATCTCCTATCTAAACACAAAGATTAATCCAGTGTAATTGGCCTGTTATGTTTGACATTGTCTTCTGTGTTGGCATCGATATGTTCTTGTCTTGTCCTTACTCTCATGGTGGGTAGAGTAAATAGTTCCGTGATTTGGGTGTTCATGGTAGGTTTTGTTATTAGTAGGGTGTTCATGGTAGGTTCTATTCTTATGTGAATTGCCTCAAGAATTTGTAATCTTCTTGAATCTTGGGTTTTGTCTATTATGCAAGTATTCTTGTTCAACATTTCTCTTGTTAGAGTAATGTCATGGGCTTATTTAGTATAGCGAGTGTTGCTCTTTCTGCAACAGATGGCACTGTTTTTCAAAAAAGCATGTTTTTTCCTGTCATAGGTGAGGCATGAATATAATAGGTATATAAAAGCACGTGCGTATTCGAATACAATGTTGTGCCAAATTTAAAAGCAATTGGTAAAGTGGTTTCGAAGATTTTCCATCTAGCCCGGGTTTAGACCCCAGGAGGAACTGTTGGTATAGTCCAGTAGCCCGGGTCTAGACCCCAGGAGGAACTGTTGGTAGTCCAGTAGCCCGGGTCTAGACCCCAGGAGGAACTGTTGGTAGTCCAGTAGCCCGGGTCTAGACCCCAGGAGGAACTGTTGGTATAGTCCAGTAGCCCGGGTCTAGACCCCAGGAGGAACTGTTGGTAGTCCAGTAGCCCGGGTCTAGACCCCTGGAGGAACTGTTAGTAGTCCAGTATCCCGGGTTTAGACCCCTGGAGGAACTGTTGGTATTGTTCAGTAGCCCGGGTCTAGACCCCAAGAGGAACTGTTGGTAGTCCAGTAGCCCGGGTCTAGACCCCAAGAGGAACTGTTGGTAGTCCAGTAGCCCGGGTCTAGACCCCCGGGAGGAACTGTTGGCATAGTCCAGTAGCCCGGGTCTAGACCCCAAGAGGAACTGTTGGTATAGTCCAGTAGCCCGGGTCTAGACCCCCTGGAGGAACTGTTGACATAGTCCAGTAGCCCGGGTCTAGACCCCAAGAGGAACTGTTGGTATAGTCCAGTAGCCCGGGTCTAGACCCCTGGAGGAACTGTTAGTAGTCCAGTATCCCGGGTCTAGACCCCTGGAGGAACTGTAGGTATTGTCCAGTAGCCCGGGTCTAGACCCCAGGAGGAACTGTTGGTAGTCCAGTAGCCCGGGTCTAGACCCCAAGAGGAACTGTTGGTATAGTCGAGTAGCCCGGGTCTAGACCCCAAGAGGAACTGTTGGTATAGTCTAGTAGC